AGCATCACCACCCTGCGGCCTCGCAGCAGCAACAGCTGCGGTGGCCGCTGCAACACCAACCTCAGAAAGAGCAGCATAACGCTCGTCAAAAGTCTCAATCAACGTGGTCTTAATAGACTCGAACATCTCTGGTATCTCTACCCTGATGGCCGCAGCCACCTCCTCATGGATGATTCGACGGATCTCCTCATCACTAGCCTCGCTACTCCCTGGCATAAGACGTGTCCTCACCATGATCTACCTCTGAAATACAACATACAATATACTAGAAATTCAATCGAGTATACTCGCACTCGATAACTCATCCCTCCTTGATCCCTTGCATCCCAAAGATTCTTACTTGGACTGTATACCGACCCGGTGTTTTCAGTAGTATGGGCCCAATACTATTATCCGCACCGTATCAGTATACACCCCAAATCCTCCTCTTCGTATCCCAAATCCCAAGTACTCTACTATGCATAATCCACTCTCTAACAAATCTCTCATAAGCTCCTCGCTGCTACCTATTCACTCTCAAGCATCTCATAGCAGCTCACCTCTCCGTAGGCTAAGGCATCATAAATCAAGGCACTCTAGTCCTAATAGTAATACCTAGCCAACTCTAGTAACAGAATACATCATATTAATCTCATAAACATATAACATAAGGGTATTTTGGGAAATCACCGTTCGGGCGCTGACTGATCGTACACACGCTTCTGCTTTGTGTTTCTCTAAGAATCTTTTACTTCTTTTAGAAAATTTGGTTCTCTTTTGAAAATATTTTACAAATCCTCACTTTGAGTTCAAATACTCCCGAAGGTGTACCCGAATCCCTCAAACCAAGGCTCTGATACCAACTTGTAACACCGTAAATTTCCAAAACAATTTTTTGCATTTATAAAAACATAATTCATTTGTAAATCATAAAAACATCATTGTTTGAAACTCAATGTATAACATACAACAATATCCCAAGATCTCGTATCATAAAAATCTCGTGTGTGTACTGATCAAGCCGGTGCCTTCCTGCGATCCTCACTAGTACCTGAAACACATAACACAAAACACTGTAAGCACAAAGCTTAGTGAGTTCCCCAAAATACCACATATAACACATATTAGCCACTCGAGGCTATAACTCTGTGGTTTCGTGCACCCAAACTCTGTGAACCCTCAGGTTCTAACTCTGCAAGCTTGCACAGCATAAATCACATAGAAGAATGCAGTACAACAAACAATATATATAATGCACTGTATCACATAACTCTATTTACCTACTCAAGGTAAAATATAGTGAGAAGACTCACCTCGCGTATCTCAGTAACTCGCAAATACCTGAAATCACTAGTGCTCGATCTCCCGAGCTATAGTCCTCCTATAACACAATACATCTCTAATTAACACTTCCTAATTAAGGTTGACTAACTCTATCAAGTCAACACCGATCAACTCTGGTCAATGGTCAATGGTCAACCCTAACTCGTCGAGTCTGGCGTAGACTCACGGAGTCCCTACGAGGACCCTATTTCCTCTGAGTCCCTTCCGACTCACCGAGTCACTCACCCAACTTGGTTACTCAACCCCTGGTTCGAAATCTATGAAAAACCCGCAACAACTCGTCGAGTCTACCAATGGATTCAGCGAGTGCATTCCATGCACAACCCCAAACGACCTTCTGAGGTCAGATCTTTTCCACTAACGCATAGATCCAGTCCTTCCAAGCTTATTTATCATGTAAAGTTCATGTCTTAGCGCTCATATCACACCTAATGACTCATAAATGGTGTTTTGACCTCAAACAAAAAGATCCCAAACCAAAACCTCCATGGACTCATAAAAAGCTTGGACAAAGGGACACTCTGGACCTCCAAGGGTCCAGACAGAACCTAACTCGCTTAAGGGACCAAATGGGCACTAGATCTAGCCACAAAAGGGCTCAATAAACCCTAAATCATCATGAACATCACCTCAATAGAAAGGGGTTCAAAAATGGTACCTCAAATGTGATGTTTTGGACCTCAAATCTTCAGGAAGTTGTTCCTCTTGCTTCCTCTTGGCTAAAACTTCCTTTCCCTTGCTAGACAACACCTCCAAGGTTGATAATGACTCCTTCTCTCACTCCAAATGCTCAAGTGCACTAGGGTTTCGCTCTGGGGGCTAGTGAGCACAAATGATGGCGATAAGGCCCTTTAAATAGGCCCCAAACCCGAGAAATTAGGGTTTCATTAAACAGCGCTGACTCACCGAGTCCACCAATGCGACTCGTCGAGTCCGGTCATTAATCCGGATGAGAAATCGCGTCTCTACTCGGCGAGTCTATGCACCAACTCGTCGAGTTCTTCCTCAAAACTCAAAATAAAAAGAATAAATATAATACTTGAAATTTCCGAATGTTACAAATATCTTCAGATACTTGAAACAAACCTAATCACTTGGGATATGGTATCCTGCGATCTCAAACTTCTTCATACAAGCATTTTAGGAAGCTAACCTTAGGGGATGTGGACTAGATAGAAACAATACAACTGGAGGATGCCAATTTCTCGATGGCAAACTTGTCACTTGGCAATCCAAGAAGCAAACATGTGTATCCTTGTCAACAGCTGAAGCTAAATACATAGTTTCCGCCTCATGTACATCCCAGGTCATTTAGATTTAAAGCTAACCTCATGATTATGGCTTGATCATGAAACGAATCCCACTATACTATGACTCTGAAAGTGTCATTCGCATTTGTCACAACCTAGTGCAACACTCAAAGACTAAACACATAGCACTGATGTATCATTTCATTAAGGATCACATCAATGATGGCAACATTGAAATTCACTTCGTAAGATCCTCTGATCAGTTCACTGACATATTCACAAAAGCCTTGCCTGAAACAACTTTCAATAGATTCTTGAAGGTCTAGGAATGACGGAAGCTAAATCTGTTCTGAAACCACTTTTGCATACATAATGATTACACTGCGAATCGGTGCGAACGTTCGTAGTGGTTTGTAGTCCACTGTTCATTCACAGTCTACTTTAACACTACGAATCGGTGCGAATGCTCATAGTAATTCGCAGTCAACTGTTCATTTTTTGTTCGGATTTTCTAATATCCATTTGTACTTTATGTATATTATTTCTTATCTTTATTTCTTTTTTCAATCTTTTCTGTTTTTTTTTCTATTTCAGAAAATCTTAAAATACAAAAATATTTTATTTTTGTTTTTTTTATTCCTTTTATTTTCACAATCTCAAAAACATCAAAAATATCTTAAGAAGATCATGGAGGCACAGTTTTGTATCATATCTCAATTCCTGTCATGGGGCGGGTATAAACCTCTTTATCTATGTATTAGCTAAGTGTCCCTAAAACATGTTACTGCATATTGCCTGAAGCCTCAATCGACTCAATGTGAAGCCTTAATGAACCAATTCTACAAATCTTTTTTTCAACAAGCTATTAAATTCACATTAGTCATGAGCTACCTTACTATTCTCACTTTGAGTTAAGAGTTATCTGCTTGTTCACTTTCGCATAGCAGGGGTACATTGAATTCTCTAGAACTACCTTCACACTTCTCTACTGCCCTTCGCATTCATGAATGTAACCCTTGAGACTCTCAGCAATACCACTAAAGTTTATGGTTACGCAACATCTGTGTTAACAAACCTAGCTTTGCACCCCACGAACTGAGTGAAACCCAAAATCCAACACACTTAAATGAATTAACCATGAACAATTAAACGTTCAATATTTTTACCATGGAATTAACAAAAGCCACTTTCGTGGTTTGTACCAAGAAATCTCTTTTTCTTTTGTCAGATCTTTATGATGTGCTCTTATCCCAAGAAACTTCTTCCCATAAGATGTAGTTTTTATTTTATTTTATTTTATTTATTTATTTTTTTTTAGAATTTAATCTTGTCACCAAAATAATTCCAAACCTACTCGTTCAATTGACTACACTAGTCACACAAGTACTTTGTTCACCTCTCGAACTTATATCAAGTTTCAGAGTTTGGATGAAGATGAAGCCACCTTGTAAGCCTATTCAAAGATGACTTTCAATGTTTCTTATCAAACACTTAATCGTATTTCAATGAGAAACCACACAGACACTTCTTAGTCTCTATTGACTTCGAGGGAAGAGATCTTTTCATGGGATCCACAGTTTGTTGTCTTTATTTAGACATCACAAAATCCCACATACAAGTATTGTTTTATTTCTTTATCATTGACACTCTTGCACGAAGATCCTAGTGATTTTCAAAAGTTTGGTTCGTGGTATTTATATTCAGTTTCAGGTTCGCAGTTCAACCTATATTCTCTTAAAACGATGTTCGTGCTCATATGAGACTAATGGAATCATTCTAAACTGCGAAAGAGCAAAGCTGACACGGAAAATCGCTGAGGATAAAAATTCAAATGGGCGCGTAAAATTTTGAACGGACATCTACTTTATCGCCGCATGGTGTATTGACCTAACATGAACAGTTGTCAAGTCGTGCTTTTTTCAGGCGACGTTTCAGTAATTGAGACAATATCTCTAGGTATTTTTCTCACAAATCAAACGGAATAAAAGGATTTTGGCGCTTCATTTCTCATTACCACTCACAAAATTCCCTCAAAGATTTCCGGCGATCAAAGCAATCAACTGTTTATCTTCTTCTTCTTTGAGGTCTCAACAATAGCAATCTGAACTACTCACCATCAAGTCGCATCAAAACGTGATCATCGATCTTGATCCTTTCAAGTATGGCAGCCATATGCTCATCATCATAGAGTGTCTAAAATACTCTCCACTGATCACAACCCTAACCAAGATGTAAACTGTTATGATGTCATTCCTTTCAGTGGCATACTATTTTGTATGTTACATCATAGAAGAATAAAGAATCACTTTTTAGATCCTCAATAAAACAACCTCCATCACCAAATCTTGATTCACTTCTCTCTTAGGGCTTGCTCAATCTGATGATCTGATTGATCCAAAATCCAAATCCAACTCTGCCCTGTTAGAGATGTTTTATCAAATTGGGTATAAAGACACGTTGTCTGCAGTTTCAAAATTCCTAAAACCTTACTTTTCGCCCCGATGGAATGGGCTTTTCATAGTATTATTCAAGATCTTTCCTGAAAGGGTTACAAGATCTGATTGTGCCAGCAAGCTATTCAGCGCAATCATGTATGTAGTCTACACTAGGATGAATATCGATTATGATGTTGTTCATTTGGCCCAGGTAATTCAAAGTACCCATTCAACTACTCATCACAAAGAAATCTGTTGTGCATGCTTTTGGTCCATTATTGTTTAGAGGGACATCACCAATTTGCATATTACCATTATACAAGATGCCCTGATGTCTAAATTTTTGACCTTTCACACCACGGGAATCAATTCTGCTGATTCTTCCAAGTTCGTTTTTGTCGCATCGGTTCCTGAGGCCATGCTTTTTGATGTGCCTCCTGCCAGCAAACTTCTTGAGAGCTATCGTACACTTCCTGCCTCAGGGTTTCATCCTCTGACTCCTGAAATGAAAGAAATTATTGATGAGTCTGTAAACCCAAGAAGGGGGGGGGGGACAAAAGGGTGGAAAGAAGGGCGAAAAGAAACAAGTTGACCAGGAAGGTCTGTCTGCACCTGCGAAACCACCCACAAAGCGAAAGGCGAAAGCTGCTCCATCTGAAGCGACTTCTAAAAAGAGAAAAGTAAAGCAAGCTGCTCGCAAGAGAAAGTCTCCTACTCCCACTCCTAGGGAGACTGATCATTTTCAATCTAACAGTTTTTTAAATGTTCGTAATGAGGATGAACAACCCATTTACAATAAAGGGGAGGACCAAGTTCACAATGAGGAGGCCACATCTACTCCTGAGGTAACCCCTACTTACAATGATTCTTTCCACCTCCTCCTCATTCACCTGAACAGACGTCAACACCAATTACTATTACACTCTACCCTCCACCTATTTCTTCTCAACAACAAAGCAACATTCCCTTATTTGTTTCTTTTTTTACTGATTGCATGTTCCACCCACAACATCTGGAGAACCTGATGTTTTAATCAATACATCTGATGCGGGGGATAAAACTTCAGGCTTTACATCGATTCATATCTCTTCACCCATTTGCCTAATACACCAAGATGATCCTGACATGATCTATGGAGATGATGAAAATTATTTAGCAGGTTTCACATTTAGTCCATTCACTATTCGGATTGCTAGTGATGATGAATCTTAAGTTACAAAGGGGAAACTAAAAGCCATTCAATAAAACCTTGATTCTCTACTTCAGGATTATAACCCTTATTCTTCTTATGAGTACTCCCAAGCCTCCATTAAGTTCATTCTTGAAACCCTCACCAATGAGCATTCATCTAATCTCGAAAAGATGAACAAGGATGTGAATGCCACTACCTCAGTCTGCAACAAAACAACTAAAAAAAGTCGATAAACTAATTTCTGATGCTACTACGTTGATGAACAATTTCCAGTCTTCTTTTGAGACCAATATAACAAGAATTAATGAAGCAATTGAAAATATTGGCTCATCTCCCCCTTGCCATTAAAACCAAAAAGTTAAAGTTGTCACTGTTAAGCTCGAACAAGCCAAGAAACCGATTCAGGATCTGATCACTGAGAATGCAGTAATGAAAAGTTATATCTTTGATGTTAATGGCATACTCTCAGATATTATAGAGACCAGGGACCCAATGATATCAAGTACAGTTCGAAAACATCTTGCTGAAAAGTTGAAACTTGTGTTCACTATGCTACATCACTTGGAGGGTGTTCGAGAACCATCTATTATTCCGAAACAAGGGGGGTGATCAACCGAAAAATACTTCAACAAGTTAAGAAAATCCAACCACTTCAGTCAAGCCAAGTATTAAGAGCAAATATGAGCCTAAGGGCTAAGACAAGATTTTTTATGATGATTCAATAGTTAATAACAGCGATGAAGAAGAGCTTGATGAAGAAGAAATCAAAAGGCAAAAGGATCATGAGGATGAAATGCATAAGAATCAATGAATTGTGAGAGAGGTTTAAGCCAAGAAGAATGCTGAAAGAGAAGAAAGATTCAATATTGAAAGAAGGAAACTCTTGTTTCCTATTTGGACGTTAAAAAGGATTCAGAGTCAAGCTATTGATTCGCTGAATCAATATTGGTTAGAACCGGTTGTGTCATTCGACCTCCAGAATACTCAGGACTTGCAACTGGATCTTCCAATTACATCTAAAGCCTTAAAGTTTCGTTCTTTCATCATGGTTGTGAATGTTCCTATGACAACCCGAAATTTTCTTTCGGTCAAACCCTAAAGTCAATCACTTCAAATTATAAGTCAAGTTCATTTTTATTTATTTTTAGCAAATTTAAAGTTCGTTTGATTATTATAATAATAATTCTTTAAACGAACGAATGAAAGGAAGTGTCGTCTCGAGTCTTGAAATTTCAAAACCTCAAGTACCAGGTAGTTAAGAAATTCACGGCCAAACTTTTATGTTTGGGCCGTAAATCCCTCCAAAAACCATAAACTCATGCCTTAAGCATGATTATACTCCCCAAAACACCTCACTTCTTACTTGCAATCTCAAGAGCAAACTCCAAACTCTCTCAACTACCATCCCGTCTTTCACCCGATTTCCCGAAAACGTAAGTACTTCTTGGCTTGATTTGTTGTTATATCATAACAACTAGTGATTATACATCTTGTCATCCATCAAATTTCATGTTGTGTTTAGATTTCCAAAACACCATGAACACCAAGAACACACACTAGTGTTCTTGGGCCCTTAGCACCTTTTCAAGCTTCTAACTAGTAAGTGCTTCTACCCTAGTGTATTGTAAAGCTTGTTACCTTTCCAAACATCAAGAAAACGTGACAAGAACACCAAGAGTAAGGTGTTCACGGCCCAAGAAGTTCTTGGATCGTGAACCCCAATTAAAGGTGCCAAAGTTTGCTTTAATCCTTCATAAGCCTTGGAAACTAACCTAGACTCATTCCTTGTTATGTTTTGGACTGGAAAACATCAAAATACCATAATCCTTAAGGTTTTACGGTAGTAAACCCAAAAGAAAATGGTCTTAGGGCCGTGAACTCTCCAAGTGAGGTAAATAGTGCCCTAATCTTTTCCAAAGCCTTAACCATCAAGTAGAAATGCTTCCAAGGGTCTTGTAAAGCCTCAAAACATCAAATGGTCAAGGGAATATGAGCTTACGGCTGTAAACTCATGAGTTTATGATCGTAAACTCATTTGTTGAGGACCTTAGAACTATAAACTCAATTAGGGAGTTTTCCTTGAACCTTAAAATCAGTAGCAATGCCTTACAACACTTGGTTGCAACCCTTGTGATCTTTAACACTTGAAACAAGGTGTTCCCATGTTCTAGAGTGTCTGAACTAAATTTATTAGATATAAGGTGTCTAATTAGTTATATATATTTATTATACGATAACTAGGCTCATTGTGTGTGTACAAGTCTCCACTTGTCAAATGCTTTCCTATGTATGTATAGTTATATAAGTAGTGTTTAATGGACCAAGGAAGGCTAGCTCGCTTTATCTCCTTTTCCTCGTTGGGATTTGGCTTGAGGGCATAAGTTATCCGTCCGAAGGTCGTATAAATATTAGTTATATATTATGTATACATATATAGACATAAAATTTCTATCAGTCAATTCAATACCCTTGGGTAGCTAGGGCATACGTTCATATTCATAAGTAGAAGTTATATTACTAGTAAGCTACAATAGGCATAGTTTAGGAAGTTAGTAATATTATTACTAGAACAATATATCATCCAAGTAAGAAAGACGTAACCCTATTCATTCAGCTCATGAAAACTATTGGCATATTGGTCCTATCCGAAAGGTATCACTACGGACTCAAAGTGTCCGCATCGAGTTCAGGAGATAGTCTTCCGGACATCTTTCCCTAACACTCGAACTGGTGATATTCGGATCTCAGATCCATTCCTGGATGTAATTCTTTCCTTGCGTTTGTTCAACCATTTCATCTATGCGAGGCAGAGATAACGATTTCTATGAAAATCTTGACGGAGTCCTCGATATCTGAGGCACATACGACGCAATCCGTCGATCTCTGGGAGAATATGACCGGGGTTCTCTAGGATGAGAAACCTAGTCTTCTAATTCTATTTCTATGTAGTTTGCTAAGTTGTCCGGACTGTTCTTGTATCTCCGTAGGTGTTTAAACTATAGGGTAATCTGTTTACGGGGGTCCTACTGGGTGCTAAGTTTGTTCACATGACGATGTGATTACTTGTAGACTTAAGCAGTTATCCGTCCTGAAGTTCATATTAGAATTCATACTTGGTTCACAATCACCATTTCGTGTATACGAATCATATATAATTAAGATTGAAAAGGTAGTCGAATAACTGATTCTTCTTTAAGCTCACATCCCATCGGGGAAAAGAATTTAAAGTGGAATCATCAATTCTAAACCTGTAGAACCTTGATTATATATCACTCTTATGCATACATTCCTCAGTGATAGATCAACCGCATGAATCCCTGGATTAAACTTGACGTACTGCACGAGTGGTACTTCGGGGTTTCTTCTGAAAGAAGGGAACTATGAGGTACTCCTTGCATGAGTACTTCGGTGTTCTGGTATGACGATTTCACTAAAAGATGTTTACTGAAAAGGAGACGTACGTATGAATCTGTTTTTATGAGGATCAAACTGAATCGAGTCGTATGATAGTGTCGAAATCATACTGAAACTTAAAGACATTAGCTTTGAACATAAGACGTTTACAGACCAAACACAACCGTGCAACCATGAATAGAGTTACAGTACATTAGATTTACTACAAGACTATTGCTACGAATAAGATATACTACAAAAGAAAAGTATACGCAGCACGAGCATCTCTATACTGACAGGATCTCGCAAAAAGTAAGACTCTAGTTGCACTAGTTCTGGATAGTTTAGAGGTTTGTTACAGCAACACTCCTAAATTACATAACTAGGGGTTCCGGAGTAGGCTCTCCTGCAGCTGTGATCCTGAGAATTCTCCCATCTGCACCAGAGTTCTTTGCTATGGGGAAATCCTTCTTGAAGTACCCTATCTCACCGCATTAGTGGCATGACTGGCTAGTACTAGCTTTGGTGATGGGATTGCGGTGTTTAGCCAGTGTTATGTGGACACGAGTGCCTTCCTCATTACTCCACTTTGAGAATTGCTTCCTAAATCATTCGGCGTTATAACTTATCTTGTGTGTAGGGTTAGTCCCGATGAAAGGGACTTGAGTGATGGGTTGTACTGGTGCTTCACAGCCACGAGCATGGTGCCTTATGTTTAGGCAATTGCAACATTGCATCTCATGGAAAGCCCCATGATGATGGAAACTACACTTATCACACTTTGGGAGTTTTCCCTCGTATGGCCTGCTCGGTACGGGAATGGCAGGGGTTTCCACTTGCTGCTGTTGTATAGCCAGCCTTTGGGATCTCTTGCGTTTTTTCCGGGCTTGACGCTTTCGTTTCTTGTTCTCTGCTTTCCGGATTTGCGAGCCTGTGACTGTTACTGTTTGGCGACTCCCTGGATGGATACCACGATTGGAAACTTCATTTCCACCAGCAACATTGACTGTGCTGATAGCGTTACGGTGCGCAAGGACCGCGGTTATGGCAGCCACCACGGCAGCTGTAACTACTGTTTGAAAGGTAGTGGTGTCCATAGGAAAGGCGGAGGTTTCGTCGTTCGACTAATTGCTTTCGGATGACGACATGATTCTGTAACACGAAAGATAAGGATTTTGTGAGCGAATCTGGTTGACCCTTGATGTACTTAGATTGTTCATGAAAAGAGTACGACCATGTTCTCGAAAGTTTGACCTACATCTCTATGATGCAGTCCTAGTACGGAATGGAAGTATGTTCACGAAGGTTTGACCTACATCTCTATGATGCAGTCTTAGTACTGAGTGGAGGTGTGTTTATGAAGGGTTAACCTACATCCCTATGATGCAGTCCTAGTGATGAGTGAAAGTAAGTTTGGACACTGGTCTCAAGACGTTTGTG